TATGTAAATGTTTTATGATTAAAAAACAAAATGAAGGGGTGCTTGGGTAGGTCAGTTAGTCAAACAGCCAACTCTTGATTTCAGCTCAGGTCTTGTTCTCAGGGTCATGAGTTCAAGCCCCATGATGGGCTCCATGCAAGGTATGGAGCTTACTTTAAAAAAAAAAAAAAAAAAAAAAAAAAAATCAAAAAGAAAAAAGAAGCCTTAAAACAAAAATCAAAATTAAATGAAGCAACCCAACTAATGTAACAATTTTGTGGTTCGATCTCAGATAAGAACTGTTTCAAGTGACTTGACATACAATAACTTGATTTTATATCCCTAATAGATTTCACAGGTATATTTCACTAATGAGATATACCCTAAGAACTAAAAAGAAATCTTAAACTGTTCTCAGTGACACTATCGTTAGTGATATTATTGTTAATTGTTATTCTGGAACTGTTAAACATAAGATAATGCAACTGAAATTCAACAGGGACTATAACATATTAGTATACCCACAAGTACTAAAAATAGTGTCAAAAATTAGTTGTCCATGATTTGAGCCTAGTATACAAAAGGGGTTACAATCTAACTCATTCTCTCTCCATCTTATTGTCCTGGAAAGCTCAGTTAAGCTTAACATATTCCCTCCACTCATTCTTTTGGTCTTCAAATGCTACTGACTCTACCTCAAGACTCTGTGTTAAATTTAGTTCCACTGTGTTAAATTTGGTTCAGATTGTGCAGAACAGCCCTTTACAACAGAAATATGATACATATGTAATAATATGTACATATGTAATTTGGGATTTTATTGTTTCGATATTAAAAGGAGAAAGAAATGGAAAATTAAAATTCTGGTAACATCTTTAACCCACTATATCCAAAATATTGTCATTCCAACATATAAATATAAAAATTATTAATGAGCTATTTGGTTTTTATGTTACATCATTAAGTCTTTGAAATTCAGTATGTATTTTACACTTATAGTACATCTCAATTCAGACCAGCCACATTTTAAGTGTTTAACAGCCCCAGTGGAGCACAGACCCCAGGCCACCAGGGGTTCTCAACACTGGCAACACATCAGAATCACTTTTCATTTATTCAGTAAGTGAACTTAGTTCCAGGGTCTGGAGGTGAATTTGTGAATAATAGATTCCTGGCATATAAATCTCTTTTCTCTTGCCAAGCTCTGACTGACACATTAAGACTGTTCACAATCTGATCTGATCTACCTAATCTACCTCTTCAGCCCTCACCTCAAATTCACATGCTATAATTTCTATACATTAGGCATAGAGCTTCACAGTTTCTCAAACACACTAGTCCTTTAAAACTACTCATTGTTACTGTGTTGGTTTTCTCCTCTTTCTAAACTTTGACCACCCCCTCTCTCATCCCACCTACCTTTCCTACGCTCAGGGCGAATGTCATGTCCCTCTGTGAAATGGTTCTCTGGCTCCCCACCCCAGTTATTTATTCCTTCCACTGCAGGTTTTGCTCCTCTCTCTCGGTCATACTACCATACTCTATAGAATTACAATTTATCTCTTTATGAATTTATCTCCCCACAAGATCACGGGTTATCAACCTCGTAACTCAAACATAGTGGAGCTGAATTCAGGGGCAGAGAAGGGGTAGAATTACAGTGAGTTTGTGCCTTAACCTCTCTTAGCTATTCTATGTTATCTAACCTGCAGCTGCCCCTAAACTAGATCTGACTTTCCCATAGAAGTCCATTACATAAAGATCAACAGACGTCTGTGTTGCACTAGGAATGTATCACAGAAATGCTCAGCATTTGTTATCCTGTCAGATCACTCAAAATAATTAATACCTTGGTATCCTAGCTTACTAACACTTTTCCCTAAGTTTGGATAGGGAATTTCCTAAAACCTGATCACTCTTGTGCATGATGTGCATGATACTCACCACCTTAGAGGGCTTTCTCATCTAGGGAAAGTGAGAATCAGGCTTAAAGTTCCTTGATGAAATGGCCAACTCTGCTGTCTACTAAACTGATATGCTGAACATATAAACCTTTATGATCAGAAACACACTTAGATTTAGACACCTGTTAACAACCTAAATCTCCAATGCTGATGTCCATCTCCTATTAAGAGCATAACACCAATCTGTATTAGAGAGGAAAAGCCAGGAGTTATTCTAATATTGTACAGGCCATTTATTAAATAGTCATCATGCATCAGCCACTCACGTTACTTGCTTTATCTTCACAGCAACACAAGATAGGGCTATGGCCTCCATTTACAGATAAGGAAACTGACAGCAGAGTTAAAAAAAAATTCCTAAAATAATGTCTTCAGAATATGAATTCTAGATGTTTGCCTTTTGAACTATAGTCCATTTAGTGCTGTGTTAGGACCAGTTCACAATGACTCACAAGAGCCAACTATTAAATTTTTAGGAACTGTACGAGCCATTTTTAAACACAGCTATGATTGAAAATTAAATCCTATAAGCTAACAATTACACAAATAATAAAAACCAAGTTAAGTATTATTCAAAACTCACTTCCTAAATATTTCAGTACATTTTACTCTTGAGGTTGATTACATTTATTATATGTGTGTACGTGTGAAAAATAAATGGTGTGAAAACGAGTTTTTTTCCCAACTTCGTATTCAGTGATACCACTTTGCTAGCTTGAAACTGACCAGGATGGGAACATTTATGCCAAAGAAATTGGTAAATCCTACAAAGCATGGCTTTTTTCCCCCAAGTGGCTGTTAAACATTACCAGCAAGTCACTGAGTTCATTCCTTATTCTGAGTTAATCGGTTATTCCAAAATACAATACACATGCTCAGCCCCTATCAAGAAATTCTAATTCAGTAGATCAAAGATAGAATATCAGCAATCTATTTCACAAAAAGCTATCTCTCCTCCAAAAGAATTCTTATATATACACTCTTCTAGCTGAGAACTACTATCTGAGAATTCTAAACAGTATTATGTATCATCAGACATTAGAAAACTATACTTAAAAGTGTATTACTTTAGGTTCCCAAATTTAAGTCTCTACAAACTATAATGTAAAACTGTAGTGCAGCTTTTTAAATCAAGGATCAAAAACTGTTATAAGCAAGCCTCTATGTAGCTTAAATTATCAGAAAGGTTTCTCTTTAAACAATTCAATAATTTTAATAAAAAGATTATGAGACAACTAAGATATCCACATAAAAAAGAATAAGGCTGAACCATAAACAAAAACTAACTCAAAACGGATCAAAGCTAAAGCTAAAGCTCAAAGATTCTTTGAAGAAAACAAGGCACGAATCTTTGTGATCCTGAATTAGGCAATGGTTTCTTAGATAAGACACCTAAAGCACAAACAACAACAGAAACAGATAAATTGGATTTCATCAAACTAAAAACATTTGTGCTTGAGGACATCATCAAGAACATAAAATGATAACCCACAGAATGAAAGAAAATTTTTGCAAATCATAAATAAGGAATTTGTATCTAAAATATAGAGAGTTGTTATAAATCAACAATAAAAAGATAACCCAAAATAAAAAAAGGCAAAGATCTGAAAAGACATGTTTCTAGAGAAGATATGCAGATGGCCAATAAGCACATCTTATTGTTCAATATCACTGACGTCCAATATCATCAGCCACCAGAGAAATGCAAAAACTATAGTAAGATTACCATTTCATAACCATTAAGATGGCTCTAATCAAAGAGTTCAGTAACAGCAAATGCTGACAAAGATGTGAGAACTGAAATCCTCATACGCTGCTGGAAAGAATGCAAAATGGTATAACTGCTTTGGAAAACAACCTACCAGTTTCTCAAAAAATTAAACATAGAGTTAGTATATGACTCAGCAATTCTACTTCTAGATATAAACCCAAGAGAAATGAAAATATAGGTCACTCAAAAAACTATTTATGGCTGTTCACAGCAATGTTATACATAAAAGCCAAAAAATGGAAACTACCCAAATGTTCATCAATTAGCGAATGGATAAACAAAAGGTGATATATTAATACAGTGGAATATTTGGCAAAAACAAGGACTAAAATATTGATATATCCTAATAATCTTTCATGAACCTTGAAAACACTATAGTAGGTGAAAGACACAAGTCAAAAACAAAGCCACCTACTGCTCAACTGCACTTATTTGAAACATCCAGAACAGGCAAATCTAGAGTGACAGTAAGTGGCACTGTGGTTGCGTAAGGCTGGTGGTCAGTCAGATGATACAGGTATAACCATTAAAGGTTTTTCCTTTGGATAACGAAAATGCTCTAAAATTGATTGTGGTGATGGTTGCATGACTCTGAGAATATACAAAAAAACCACCAAACTGTACGCTTTAAATGGACGAATTGTATGTTATGTGGATTATTTCCCAGTGAAACTGTTACAAATACATATACATAAATTTCTTTAAAAAAACTAGCTGAGGACGAGATTTCCATATCTGAAACACTGATGTCTTCTTTTATTCAATGAGCTGTATCATAAAATAGATTTCTCTTTTGGTTTCATTGCCAGGAAATTCACTATTAAATTTTGTGGGTACATGAGCTTCCCTTTCCTTAAGTTCTCTAGGTCAGTTTCTGTCACCACCATGCCTTACTTTCACTGTTTTAAATTCTAAATGTTTACAATAACCCACTTCAATCTTTCTTGGAAACAAGCAGGATATGATGGCTAGCTGAATTCTGAAAATTTAAGAATACTTTTAGATACTCATGATGCCCTTTAAGATACAGAAATCCTATTTCTGTATCAGGTTAGCCTGAGCTCTGCTAACCAATTCCCTTCATCTTAACCACCAAGGATTGATTCAGAGAATTATGAGTTTTCCCAGAGGATTTTTTTTCTCTACATTACATTATCCATATAAAACATTATACTGTGGTATTATACATCTACCATATATTTAGCACACAAGATAATAACTTAAATGGAACATAAGTAATAATTCACTACTGAAATTTAACTTTGTTTTGGGAAATTCATTCCTACCCTAACAGGTGAGGATGAGTCCTCTGTATTTCGTTTCTGGGACTCAGCGTCCACATCTTGGCGCTTGTTCTTCATTCTTTCTCTAAGATCCCCTGTAGGCCTCTCTGGTGACCTTTGAACCAGAAAACAAAAACAAAACAAAAAACAAAACAAAACAACAAAAATCTATATTTTTATAATGTTTGTAAGAATATATCTACAGAAATAACTCACGAATCTCAACGTTTCTTTCCGTGGCTCCTAATGTTCAGAAAAACAATTAATTTGCTTTGGCTTAAATATTAATATATAGGAAATATGAGCATCACTTACAAATTTTCTCCCCATGACAATCAGAAATGTATACACTAAAATTCCATGGGGTGGCAGGTACTGGTGACATGAATAAGAAACTGTATGTGAACTAAGAAAAAGGAATTTGTTATTAACAGTTTAATTTGTTTTTCTAAAAATCACATAAAGGTATCAGTTATATTTGAAAGTAAAAAGCAGGAAGATAAAGTTTTAAATCACAATGTTGTAAAATTAATCAAGAAGCAACCGTATTATCATGTATACATGCATGTGGCTGGATGCAACACCGACAACTGAGAATTACCCATCTTAAGAACCACAGGATACAGAGGAGTTCTGTGTTATTCTTATAACTTTTCTTAAAGTTTGAAATTACTTCAGAACAGAAAATAATTAAAGGATTCAAAGCAAGATTTAGGCGGTAGATTTCTTTTTAATTAAGGAAAATCGTACACATTTATATTCAACACACCTAAGCATTCATAATTCATACTGAAAATGTGAAAAATGGCTTGCCAATTATTTTTATACCATTATTAAGTGAGAAAACAAAGCAGACATGGAAAACACATTGCCTTTAATGAGTATTCCTTGAATATTCTTTTAAAAAGGGCAATAGAAGTTAAGAAGTGGTATGTCCCTCATTGGCCACCAAAAAATACTGTATAATATATTAATATTTTTTAAGGATAAGTATATAAGGATAAGTATATAATTTTTTAAGGCTATAAACAAATCACATAAACATTTGCATCTATTTCAAGTCATAGTTATCAATCAAATCAATTCTTTTATCAATCAATACAAGTTACATGATTAATGAAGAAATAATTTCAGTTAATTCACTTTAAAGGATCTCATTAATATCTATATGCACATTTTACAGGACTATATTAAATGTTTTAATAGTAAATCTGAGTTTAAAAGTGGAAATTATTAAAAACCAGTACTTAAATGTTTTAAATTATAATTATGATGAGCATGTACATCTTATGTGTCCTGGCCTCCTTTATATAATAAGACAATTTATTAAATATATATATTTATATATATATTTATACATATAATATATATAAGAAAATTTTTATTAATTAAAACCCTAAGAGCGCCTAACAGAGTCTCTACATACAATGAATGCTCAGTAAATGATTTAAATATTTTGTGACAAAGCATTTCTGAAATACACTGCTTTTCTTTCCATCTTTGAATCACGTTATGAACTGTATTTTCATCCCTATAAAAAAAGGAAAAAAAGAAATCCAAAGGGGGTTATCAAATGGAAAAACATGCACAAAATAACAACAAAAAAAAATCCTTTATTCTAAGTCTAATAATGACACTATTTTTTTCCCATTTTAGATAAATTTCTCTGCCATTTTCCTTAAAATTACCTCTTGTATAAAAATTTTGTCAGTTAATAATAAGTTTCACAGATGAATTAAAGTATGTATTAAAAGTATTGTAATAATAGGAACAAAACATTAAAATTACTGGAACACTTTCCCTAAGTGTATATTTATACAGATAATTAAACACATGTTAAGAACTGATTTTCGCACATTAATAGAAGGCACAGATGACAATCTAAATACAAATAAAACAGAGTATTCAGCATCACTAGTAAAGTAAAATGTACATTTAAGTGAACAGAAAGTCAGTTAAGGGTCTGAATTTTCAACTCTCTTAAGCTTCAAAATCTATACACAAACACACACACATTTAAAAAGAATTTTAAAAAAATCTGCAAATGCTAATGTTCAGTTTTTATACTATCGCTGTAACCAAAGCAATAAGCACACCCAGTTTTAGGACTTTGTTAACTATTTGTTTACCAATCAAGTTTAAACTGTTTTTGTGTCTACATATGTTACATATTTAACGCCATAATATAACCATCATAAACTGAACTGAAAGGAAAATGAAAGGTCTTTATTAGGAAAAGTTTCATTTAGCTTTGCCTTTATCAAAGGCAAAAAGATGTCCCAAACAGGTAATAGGACCTTTATCTACATATAAGTACATGTTTTCATTTACATTAATACATTGTGATAAGGGATTTGGCAAATGCATTTTAATGTACAGAAGTTGCAATAGACAGTCTCATGTCATTAAGATCTGAATTCAGAACATTTTAAAAAGATAAAATTATATCCTTGTTAAATTTTATTTTTTTAAGAGTTAAAAACAGTCTTTCCAAAGTAAAAGTAAATCCATGAAATTCTGCTCTTAAATCATTTTAACTACATAACTAGGTGTGGGGAAAGTAAGTCATACGTATATTATAAAAAAAAATCTACTGGCAAAAACAGTAAATACTGAGCAAATAATATTAAAGCATACATTTTATTAATCTCAAAATGAACCAGAAAGATCTTGTTGCTCTTTGACTATTGGTAAGACCACCACCAAAAGAGAAAAATCTGATCAAATATATGCTTGTATTTCAGATTTTTATACTAGATAAATTACAAAAGCCATCTTCTAATATTATACGAGCAATTCAAAGTTCTTAATTTACCTTCTATAATTGCTGCTATAACCTTTACCACGGGGTGAAGGGCCATGTACGAATCTACATGTGTTTCCATAGAGGCAGTTGCCAGTCTTCAGCCAGTTACGGCACTGTGTCTAAGAGACAGATATTACTATGTAAATTTCATATTTATTTCTGGAAAAAAAGATGCTAGTGGGACAAAATTAAAACAAATGCTACCAAAATTCCAGATACCTGAGACACATTATTCATTCCCCAAACAATAAAAACATCAGGACAAAAAAAACATAAAAATTATTACTCTTCACTCCTTTATGAAACTCAGTTTTAAAAATTTACCAAACATTCCTAAAATACAACAACCTGTTCACCTTATGATGCAAGTCAGTATTCAAGAACAGGATTAAAAGATAACCCTGTGACTGAGCTAGTGACAACTCACCTCTGCTGTACTGCCAGTGCTGGGTCCAAGCCTCTCAAACACACTGGGTCTTCGGGATGTGCTATCAGATATGGTCTTGGTATTTTCCACTGTGACCTTCCTTCTAATTTTTGACATTTTGTACTACTTTAACCAAAAAAGAGAGAGGTAAAACTGTAAAATTCTTCAGCTTCAAATTAACTGAGCTCATAACTTATACGTAGATAAAGCTGTAGATAACACTGTAAAACTGTGGGTAATTTTTCTCAGGAGAAAAAAGGCATAGGAGAGGTCACAGGTAAACAGAAGGTATCTTCTAAGGCATGCCACACTAGTGAACTTGTAACAATGCCGAAATCTGTTGGCTAGAATTTTTACTCTTCTGCAGAGTGAAAGAATAAGATTCTACTTGCACAATTTTCATAGTACATTCACATGAGAAAACAACTATAAAATGTTTAGTTTCTAAGTTCTTTATAAAAGTTTCAAAATTTAGTTAACTATCTTTTAAGGAAAAGTTGTGCTATCATTCTCCATAAGGTAGTTAACTGGAAAAGAAAGCCATGTCAAAGAGAATGGGAAAATAAAATTAAGTGAGAATTTTACTGATAGTAGAAATTATGCTTTATACAGCTTGCAACATTAGGTATATTCCAAAAATCAGCTTGGGAGAAAAATGCAAACTAGTTAATATTTTCTCTATCTTAACAGAGTTTGAAAAAGAACAGTCTAATCAAGGACATTTATTTTCAATAATATAAAGAAAATTCAATGCTGACAAAATGACTTTCAAATAGGCTACAGAACTAGAAGAAGTCAAGATGTTTCTATAACTTATAATATATTGACATAAAAGTCAAAGATGCTAAAAGTGATAAACAGGCTATCTTACTATTATTAAAAACAAGACAAATTGTAAAAATATTTTACTAGGGTAAATAACATTTAAAACTAAAACCATAACAAAACAAACTTAAGTATATAATAATCAGGTGACTCAAATGGAAATGAAAACATCAGATAACAGTATTATGATATATGTTAGAGAAAAACATTAAATTCTAGATCTAGAAAAAATTAGTACATCACTGTGGGAACTGGGTAAGAACTGCCTAAAGGGGACTAAACCATATCACATTTCATATAATACAATTAGTTGAAATCTTCTCAATAGTCAAAAGTTACTAGAATGAATGGAGCTAAAGAAGTAAAAGTTCCATTTGGTATAGAACTGGTCTCCATAAAATTCACAAATTCAAGAAGTTCTTTAATGTGGTTTCCAAGTAAAGACATATCACTTGAAAGGAAATTAAGTCTTGATAGTACCAAATCAAAAGTTCAAAAAAAATATAAACAATATTTGGTTTAGTTAAGATACTTTTCAGTCCACATTTTTAAAAGAATCTTAAGAGTAAGGACAACACTTGACAAATGAACAAAGATAATAAACCAAGAGGAAAACAGGAAATGATACAATATGGTAGTTTTAAATTGGAAAAAAAAAGTATCTTATTCTTTAATATAAATACAATCATTTTAGTAATTATTTTTAATGACTCGAAGAAGTTGGAAAATGACTTTACAAATCTTTAAGAATTAGCACAGATGTCATATTAATGAGTAAGAGTTTGTTGCAACATAAAACCACATATGTATCAACTGTTCTCCAAATAAGGAACAATACAACCAACCCTACATACAACAGTTAGTACTATAAGATAATCTTTGGTTTCATTCTCAGCCCAAATGTGAATTTACAGAGTAAAATTTGGTAGAATTTCATATGTTCATTTGATTTACTGAACTGAAAAGTTCTTTATATAATGGAAGGCCAAGATCAATGGAACTGAAAAAACATCTTCTAGAAAATGTAAAGCTTTGATTAAGTGGTTTGATTAAAAACCACTTTTTATACTTTATACCTGAGCAGGAATCAATAAAAAGTGAGTATGTCACACAAAACAGGGAAAGTTTAGAACAAAAACAAATGTTCAAAGTCTTATTATGTTACTATAAATATTAATAGAGGTGTATATTATAATCTTCATCCACTAATTCCATTTTTACAACATTTATTGGGGTGCCTGGGTGGCTCAGTGGGTTAAGCCTCTGCCTTCGGCTCAGGTCATGATCTCAGGGTCCTCGGATCGAGCCCTGCATTGGGCTCTCTGCTCAGCGGGGAGCTTGCTTCCCCCTCCCTCTCTGCCTACTTGTGATTGCTCTCTGTCAAATAAATAAATGAAATCTTGAAAAAAAAATTAATAACCTTAAAATTGAATGAGTTCTAAAAGTTCCTTATTAGCTCTTATTAGTTATTTGGAACTTGGAAAACAGGCATACCATCCCCCCCACACTGTTTTACCCTAACCTTACATATTTCCCTCCACTACCAATGGAAATAGTTCTGCTCCCCAAACTCCTATACAGCCACAGCATGCTGCCACTCCCAACACACCCTCCTCCAAAAAAATTAATGATAGTGCTTTCCATTATTAGGGCAACAGCTATTTATTATTGTTCCTGAAACACTGGTCATCTAGCATCTCCTTTCTTGTTTTTCTGAGGGCTCCATGTATTAACTCTACTGTTTCTCTTCCTGCTCTATTACCTGTTGCTTGGATCAGCACTCCGCTACTCCCTTGACCCACCCCTGAAAACCATGGCTTCTCTCTAATCCTAGATCACGAACATAAACTTTGAAGATTTCAAAAGGTTTGGACTACTATGTCAAATACAAGTGAGGACTGATGGGATCTTAACACCCCTCCTTGTATGTATCCCTGCCACTAAAAAAGTACCTTCCTACAGAGACAAAGTTGCTTGTACATGTGACATCAAGAACTACTCAAGATTCACCTACATAGTTACTGTCACTGGAACTTCACTTTTAGCTACTGTTGAGTCTTCCAACTTAGGGAAAAACAGCAAAGTAAAAGTCATATTCTCAGCATCCAACATTGTCAGACTTCCTCCTAAAATTACACTGACTTTGAGTACCAGGTCTACGTTATAGGAAGGTCATAGACAGGAAAAAAAATCTGAGGCAAAAGGGAAAAAGTAGGACTTGAAGTTTTCTAATTGAAAAGAAGAGGAATTCTTCTGGTCATCTATCTAGGAACTTCTATCAGTAGTCAGCAATATAAGTTTTTGAAATATTATTACTGAAATATTCATGACTGACAAAGATAAAATGCTTTATGCTTATAAAGAATACAAAATACAGTATTTTAAATACTATTTGTCTAAATATATACACATAATCTGTAATACACCAGAAAAACACTTACTCCTATGTTAATTTATTAATTTAAATGTATGTTACCAAATAAAATGACTTAATTAGAATTTTCAACCTAAAAATTTGGGCCCTCAAAGGGACCCAAATAAATACCACAATCTAATAAAATATAGATTTAAATGAGGAAGGGATAAAAACCTTTTTTAATTAATATCCGAACAGGCTTCAATGAGCAAATGCTTCAAAGTATGTAAGAAAAGTTAGAAACAATAAAATAAAAATATAAATATTAAAGTCTAGCACCTGAGTGGCTCAGTGAGTTAAGCCTCTGCCTTCAGCTCAGGTCATGATCCCAGGGTCTTGGGAATTAGCCCCACATCAGGCTCTCTGCTCAGCAGGGAGCCTGCTTCCCTTTCTCTCTCTGCCTGCCTCTCTGCCTACTTGTGATCTCTGTCAAATAAATAAATAAAATCTTTAAAAAAAAAAAAAAGTCTTCCCTATCTCAGAGACTTTAAATCTTTTCCCTTCAGTTTTGTTTTCAAATTAAACTTTGATTTCAAGGTGTCATTACACTTTTACCCACATCATCATGTCTTTATATCTTTCCCAAACACCATCATTATCAAAGCCCAGGTGACACTGGTGAAAGTCTATGGAGTTATTTTCCCATTTCTCCCCTCCATTTGAAGAGTAAATAAATATCAAGGTTTTTATGATATATTTTCAATTGAAAAAAAGGGGACAGAGTTTGAACCTATTAAGATACAACAAGAGGGTCTTAATAAATGGGAACAGTTCCCTTTCTCCCTCCAAAACTTAAAATATCACAATGTACTCAAAGCTACACCCTATAAATATGGCTAAGAAAGGGGAAACATACAAATGATCAATGATTCCTGAGGCCTAAATACTAAAATCTTGTCAATAAAACATGTATCAATTCTAGTATCCTCATTTTAATCCATAATTACATCTTTTTGAGGCCGCATCTTTCCCCAGCACAAATAAACGCATGTATCATTTTAACCTGGATAAGCCACAGCATAATATTAGGAAACTGTCAAGTAATTAAACAATTAAAACTACATAAATGTACTAACTAGTAGAATAAATTCTTATCCACTGAAGTTCTAAAATTAAAAGGTTTATATTAAAAATAAGGTCTCTTCCTATTTATAGTTCATATTTTTTAAAGAAAAAAGTTAAGTTTATTTGATGCATAGTCTGGGAGAATATTTCTAAAAAATAACTTTCTAAAACAATCTTACAGGTTGCTTAAAGACATACTAAAACAAAACCAAAAACAAAATAACAACCAAAAAAAGAGACTAAAACAATTCCAACTCTAATTCCAAACAGAATTAACAGAACTACACTGACTATACCACTATGAGCAAGGCAATCCTGTAGCACTGTGCAGAAAATAAAAATTGTTAAAAAGACTATGAACAGAAAATAGGCAATGCTAGTAACTACTATAGAGGGAAATAAACAGAACTGCAACATGCATTCTATCAAAAAAGAATAAAGACACTTTAAATAGCAACACCAGTTAACTTTCAACTGTTATTAAATATCTACTTAAATAGCTCCAACTCTACATGAAATGGAGAACTGGGTTGGGGGAGGTGGGGAAGACTAACATCCACTGAAAACCAACTCCTCAAATAAATGTCAATTAAACAACTGTGCTGCCTATATTTAACCGCCAATGCATACTGTAATACAAACTAACACAACTTACTAAAATTCTAATAACTTGTACAGAAGTGAAAATAGCATCCACCTGATTAATTTTAGTATTAATTTACCAATATGAAAATGGATTGATTTGCATATCTTAAATATGGAATCAATATTCATTTTGAATCAGCGAGAATTAGGAAGCCAGAAAGAGGCATGCATTTGACAGAATTGGATCCTACCAGATCCACACAGTAAAAGTCTAAGTTTCATGGTGCAACTATTTTTACTGATACAAATTGCTACATACCTGCATCAACATTCTTAGCAGTCTCTTGCTTAAACTGTCATCCTATAATCTAAATATTTCATTAAGAAATTGGAAATTATTTGAAAATCTACAGATTATGTCCACAAAACTCTTAAAAATATTGTCGCTTAGGTACTAACGCCAGTAACTTCAAATATTACAAAACTAGACTCCACTAACTGGCACCATACACGCATGAATGGATTGTACTGCATAAACATTTAGATTAACTGCAACAGTACCATGGACTTTGAAAAGTTGAGGTGTGACGATATTTTCCAAACTTTTAAAATTATTAAAACAAAAACAAAAACAAAAACAAAAACCTGAAGGGCCAGTCTATGCCTGTAATTTTCGGGGTAGTTCCAAGCATGTGAAAACCTCACAATATAACCAAATAGCTTAAGATATGCTCCACATACAGGATCCTACCAACATCATTCATGTAATATCAACTCTGAATGATTTTCCAGCCACATATATTATTTTAACCTATTCCGAAAGAGGTAATGCCAAACAGCATATCCTCCATACTTTCACTCCACCTTCCCTAGTTTCTGACGGATAGTTGCCCAAAGTAACTACCTAGGGAAGGTAAAGATTGAGTAGCACTCCTCAGCCTTAGGACCCAAGTCAAATTATCACTGCCGGGAAATAAGCAAAACCAAATAGAACCAAAAGCAAGATAATTTTTCCTAAAGGTCTGGAATGCGTAAAGAGGGAGCCTCTAAATCTAAGACCATATCCCTCCCCCGGTCCAGTGCATATAAATGCGAATACTGCGCAAGGGTTCCCAAGCTTTTTTGGTAGGGACCCAGAACAGTCTTTTGTCTGAATTCCCGTCCTCTTAAACAAACTCGCCGGAATCAGAATACGAGCGAGAAACGAAGCCTGAGCCCAGGGAGCTATTGCACAGTTAAGGGTGGGATGCTCAAAAGGAGCTCAAAATCCTGGCGTGACCCAAGAGGGATGGAGTACAACCCAGGGCCTCCCCATTCGGGTCCGTCAAACGCCTTTTCCCGAATACCCACACCAATTCACAGAATTCAAGCTTACCTCCTTCCCGAGCTCCTGTCGCAAGCACAGTCCGAAGGCGATACCGCCGCCACCGCTCCGAGGAGCGGGGGAGGCGACTCTCTGTCCCCGCGCCTAGCCCCGGGAAGACGACGACGAGAAGTAGGTGCGCGCGCGACTCCCGGGAACCGGCTCTTCGCTAGCGAGGGGCCCCTGGGGCAGCTGAGAAGCAGAGCCCACCCGCCGCTTCGGTAGGGTCAAGTGAAACTGAGATGTAGAACGAAAAAGAACGAAGAGAGACTGGAGAGCAAGAAAAAGCAACGAAAACACTACCAGGCCGCTAGGAGGACCGACTCAAAATGCCACCGGAAATCGAGTGTTTGCCCTGATCCCCAGTGGACCGAGGCAGCTTCCGGCCGCCGGATTAGTCGTCAGCGCGCAGGCACCGCCCCTTCGGAGACACGCCCCTGAGCGTAACGTCGGCTCGTCGGAGTGTCGTGGAAATCATCTAATCTGTGCTTTGTGAAGGGACCCTTGGAGTGGAATCCCTGACCCAGGGAGAGCCAAAGTTTCCCATAAAAAGTGGATTTAAGAGGGAGAGTTTACTCCTTTTATTACATAGTTTCTTACAATAAACAGCTGTTGTAAACGCCACATTTGTTGTTGAAAATAACTACAATCGTTCATTCATTTGCTCAAAATGTTTCCTGCGCACGGGCAGGTGGTGTTTGTCTCGTTTTTGACACTCCTCTACTTTTTGGGCCATCGCTTATTACTGTGGAGCAAAGGACACACGGTTGTGTTTTTAAAGGCGCAAGTAGTTCATTGAAAATTTGGAGCAGAAATCTTTAATGTACTTCTAACCCCCTTTTGTGGTCCAATGATCTGCAAGAAACTGGTTATTAAAATTGCTTGAGGTGGGTGGTCAAACATCCTAAATCAAAATCCGTACAAATTTTTTAAAAAGGAAAAAGAAATGTGAGCCATTTTCTGCCTTAATTTATGGTAGCATTTATTTCGTTCTTTGACAAAAGCAAGGAATGGGAAAATCTTTTCTCAAAACTACTGATAAAATCTTAGAAGAATGGGTACAATGATTTGGTCTTGTAGGAATCAGTAAATTAAAATAGGAGAGAAGAGCGAGAAAATCAAGGGAATTAAACATTCTTTTTTTTTTTTTTTAAAGATTTTGTTTATTTATTTGTCAGAGAGAGAGAGAGAGAGAGCAAGCACAGGCAGACAGAGTGGCAGGCAGAGGCAGAGGGAGAAGCAGGCTCCCTGCCGAGCAAGGAGCCCGATGCGGGACTCGATTCCAGGACGCTGGGATCATGACCTGAGCCGAAGGCAGCTGCTTAACCAACTGAGCCACCCAGGCGCCCTGGGAATTAAACATTCTTGATGACATGCTCAACTATTTTAGAGATAGCGGCGAGAGCTTCTGTGCAAGTGGGTCTGATGTAACTTTCTGGCAACAAGAATCCATATTTGCCTTTATCTCGAAGTTCAATTGTAAACGAATATTTTATGCCTAAGTCATAGATCCAGTCATCTGAACCTCCAGGGGCTAGGTCTACAAGAAGAAAAAATAAATTACTTTTTGAAATCCAGATGTCTCAAGTTAATGAACAAAATGGATTTTTTCCCCTAAAAATAAAAATAGCTTTATTTTTTCTGATTATTAAGTAATCTAAGTTTCTGGTAGAAAGTAGAGATGGAAGAAAAACAGGTTAAGGAAGAAAATAAAAATTACCCATATTTCTGCCAAGGAGTAATAATCACCATTAACATTTTAGTGTTTCTTTCTCCTCAGTGCATGTTTTAACATATTTAATTTTTTCCAAATGTATTAAATAAGATCATCCTATACATGCAGTTTTATAATACTTCTAAACATAATCTATCTGACCAGCTTTATGTATCAATGACTTCAAATCTACATTATCATTTTTCATGATCTCATAGCACATAGTAAAGCTGGATATAATTAAGTATAATTAAGTTCAATAATTATCTCCAATAACTTGGGGATAATCTCCAATAACTTGGAGACCTTTAGATTATTTTTTTCTAATTTCTAATTGATATAAACAACTTTACAATGAACTTTCTTGTTTTCACTAATTGCTTCTTCATTTCTTTAGAATGTTCTTACCTAGAAGTAGATTCACTTGTCTAAGAGTATGTACTTTTTACAATTATGCTACATGTTCCCAAATAACCTTCAGAAGAATTGAACCAACTTACATATCTGTACTAGCAGTGTATGAATATGCCCATCTCACCCTCTCATACCATGCATAGGGATTTATGTATTTTGGGCAATTTTATGGGTGAAAATATTATTGAATAATCTTGTTTATTTGATTACCACTGAGTTAAACATTTTATTTGGTATATTTATTGTCCAGCATTATAATTTTTGTCTTTGCTTATTTTTCTACTCATTTGATTTTACAGATTCTTTATAATAGCAACATTAGTGTTATTAGCCTTGTGTAATAGGTGAATTTGTTTTCTTATTTGGTTATTTAGCTTTCAGCTTGCTTTATGGCAGAGTGTTTATATTAAAATATTTTATCTTTGATTTATTTTAGAGAAATATATGTTAGTAAATTAATTTCTTCTAAGTTGTCAGGTTTTCCAACCCTATTAATTGAATAACATTCTTAAAATTGCCTCTTTTATGAGATAATATGTGCCCTTATATATTTAAATGTCTTTCTGTTCTCACTATTCCCTCCTATTGATATGTCTTTTCCCAGCTCAGGTCCACAGTCTTACTTACTGTAAGTTTATAATGTGCCTTAATACCTGGTTGGGGCAAATTCTCTCTTAGTCTCATTTTTCAGAAAAATTTTACAAGCTCTTCTACCAAATTCATTCTTTCAAAAAAAAAAATTCAAAGTCACTTAACTGTTCATTGGGATTGCATTAAACATACAGACTAATTTAGCACTACTGACACATTTTTATTTTGCTTTCTTAAAAATGTAGTAGGTTTCCCCTTTTATTTATCCTCCTTTATGTAAACCAATAAAATTTTCTAGGGGTTTCATATAAATATATGGATTTGTATGTGTACACACATACATACATTTAACAAGGAATCCACATATATGTGTCTGTATGTATATGTGTGTGCACTTTGTACATATGTACAAATAGAGGGGCAGTAGGAACTTTTCTCCATTTTATTATCTACCTGATTATTTTTGGTATATAACAGAGCTTTAGATTTCTGTATATTTACTTCATAGCCACCTTACTCAACTTTTGATTGTTAATATTTTTGGTTGATTTCTACTGTTTTCCAGGTAATCATATATTTCATATGCAAAGTGATCACTTTTGCCTCCTTCTAATGCTTATACTTGAATTAACTACAAAGGTGTTTACCAAAGCATTGTTTATAATACTGAAAATATCCACCAGCCGAGGGTTCAATATGTTATTCAGCAAATATTTCTGACAACCACTATCAATATTTGGCATTCCTTCTTCCAGCCATTTTCTCATGCTCATGAACACATTCTCATAGATGTATGCTAACTGAATGAATGAATGAATGTGTAGAGATGGACTGATTTCTTCACACCAGACTCTGAGACACTGCGGTTATGCTTTGGGAAGCAATGGCAGAGAAGAGGATAAGAATCGAGAAAGCTCTGAATTGTGAAAGGAAGCTGTGTGATCCCTCACTGACAGAGCAAGGACCTGGGTCAGCAAAGGCAGCAGTGGGCCAATGACACCAAGAGACTGAGATACCACGCAGATCAATCTGGCCCCACTTTGTTCAGAGACATTTTGGGATTGTTGAGAAGGAAGAAGAGGAAGATTCTGGACTTCCTACAAATAAGGCATCTAGTGCTCAAGCAACTTATTGAAAACGATATGAATGTGATTATTAAGATGAATGTGTTTTTACATTCCTGTAGATCACACCTGTTAAAGAAAACTACTAATATTGTCTCAAGAGCTTCTCACAACCCATCTTCTCTCCCTGGTTTCCCCCCTACATCACTGTTTAAACAGGCAGATACTTATCAAGAAGGTCTCCCAGAAGTGTTACCTATAGAGAGAGACCCTTCTAGGCCACTTTAGCTAAGGAGCCTCTCTCTCCTGTAGTCATTCTCAAACCCTTCAGCCTATTTTATTTTCTTCACTTCTCAGTGGGATTATACTATATTTGACTACTTCATTGTTTGCATCAGAGATTGGCAAACTTTTTCTCCAAAGGACCAAACAGTAAGTATTTTAGGCTTTGTGGACCACAAAGTATGTCACAATTACTTGACTCTACAATTGTGAAAGCTTTTATAGACAATACGTTAAGTAAATGTGTATGGCTGTGTTCAAATAAAACTTTATTTTTGGATACCGAAATTAGAATTTCATATAACTTTAACATGTCACAAAATCTTTTTTTCAACCTTTTAAAAAATGGAAAAACTGAGGTATCTGGGTGCCTCAGTCAGTTAAGCATCAGACTTATGATTTATGCTTAGGTCATGATCTCAAAATTGTGAGATCCAGCACCTCATCAGGCTCTGCACTAGGCATAGAGTCTGCTTGGGATTCTCTCTCTCCCTCCCCCGCCTCCCACATTTGCACGCTCTCTTGCTCACTCACTCTCTCTCTCTAAAATAAATAAATAAAATCTTTTAAAAATGGAAAAACCATTCTTATCTCACAGGCTATGCAAAATAAGTGGTGGGCAGAATTTGGCCTATGGGTCATAGTTTGATGACACCTGGTTACATGTTTATTTTCTGTTCCTATTTTGCCATCTCCTCCTCTAGCTTCAAAAGAGAAAAATCATTGTCTGTCATCCCAATGTGGGTGAAAAGAATCTCTCGATAAATATCTGCCAGCAGAAATTAAATTTAGAAATATTTCTTTTTTTTAAGATTTTATTTATTTATTTATTTGACAGACAGAGATCACAAGTAGGCAGAGAGCAGGCAGAGAGAGAGGGGGAAGCAGGCTCCCTGCTGAGCAGAGAGCCCGATGTGGGCTCGATCCCAGGACCCTGGGATCATGACCTGAGCCAAAGGCAGAGGCTTTAACCCACTGAGCCACCCATGCGCCCCTAGAAATATTTCTTAAGAGTTTACCACATACAAGCTGTCATCAGTGTGATACAAAAAAGGACATTTAACTATATAGTGTGCTCTAGTGGGCACAGCCTGTTATTAGAAAGCATCTAATGTAAAAAGGGTTTCCTAGATTTGTATAGTGTTCAACCTGCACAACTTTGCATGG